GTTCACCTAAGTCTGGAGGTGCGGCGCTGCCTAGTTGTAGCTCAGCCCCTCTGAGGGGAGGCCCCTCACTGGCTCTGGCATCACCTGGGGGAGAAAGGGGCTGTGAGAGCTTTCTTAGGCTGCAGGCTCAGGGAGGTGAGTTGGTGAGCCTGGAAGACTGCCCCGGGGCTCCGCGCGCCACTGCCCCTGGGGGTTTGCAGTTATGAAACACACGGTGCTGCTGACAAGTGACACCGTTTAGCACTTGGCAGGCCCCCCAGGGGCCGATCACAAGATGGGGCTTGTGAGCATATGTGTGAGCACTGCTGCCTGTCTGTGAGGATGGCCTTCTTTCTCCTCTTTCTTTCCTTCCTTCTAGTTCCTCTCCCTGCTTCTCCCATCTTTCCTGCTCCCTCCTTCTCTTTTATCCTCTCCTGTTTTCTCTCCCGTCCTTTTCTTTCTTTGTCAGAACAGATTAACTTTTAGGACTGTTGCTCTTGTTGGAACAGCTCTGGAGGCTTCAGAGGGATTCCAGAAGGCTTCGGTGTTCTGACACCCACATCTGGGGAGGAGCCCACTTCTGGGCGGGCATGTCTCATCGGAAAGCTGTGGTTAGCTTTGGGTGGAAAACATTACTCAGGGCACACAGCTGCTCCTGTGTGTGTTGGGGTGGGGGGGGTGCGGGCTGGAGCTACTGGGTCACTGAGCACCCTCTCCTGGGGACCTTTATCAGCCTTCCCCCAAGGCTTCTGGACATAAGCGCCCCGCCCCTGTACACACCACCCCCCATCCCCCTCCAGGAGTTCTGGGCTTCGAGCTCCTTCCCCTAGAAGCCTCGGGGAATGTAACAGTGTGAGGGCTTGTTGCAGCCGTGTCCCACAGAAGGCTAATAATCACCTGACCTTGAGCCAGCTGGTCCCTCCATGCTGTTGGCCAGGAATCTTTTCTCACTTTTATCTTCCTAACCAGTCAGATCTCTTTCGGCTAGAGGGTTCTGCTTTCAGCTGGCTCCAGCCCAGGGGCATGAGAACAACTCGGTGCCTCTTGTGCGGGGGTCGGGGCCAGGGAACTCGTGTTCAGCCAGCGCTCTGTTTCTGAGCCTGGGAGGTGCTTCCTGGCTCCTAGTGAAGGTGAGAGAGCCAGGACCCCCACCAGGAGGGACTGGTTTGGGTCTGATTGGAAGGTTCTGAGGGGATGATTCTGCAGCTCATTGAGGAGGCCCTTGTGGTCATTTACTCTGCATTTGGGAGGTGTCTCACCTGAGGCTCCTGAGGACAAAGACGGTGAGCTGGTGATTGGAACTCAGGGGCTGCCCACACCCACACGTGCACATTTGTCTGCTCATGTGGCTTTTTCCACAGCAGGGAGAAGACAACTCAGAGGTTGGTTTGGCCCAGGCCTGTCCTTGCCATCCACCTTTGGTTCCATTTATAGTTCAGTTCAGTTGCTCAGTTGTGTCCAACTCTTTGTGACCCCATGAATCACAGCACCCCAGGCTTTCCTGTCCATCACCAACTCCCAGAGTCTACCCAAACCCATGTCCATCGAGTTGGTGATGCCATCCAACCATCTCATCCTCTATCGTCCCCTTCTCCTCCTGCCCCCAATCCTTCCCAGCATTAGGGTCTTTTCCAGTGAGTCAACTCTTCGCATGAGGTGGCCAAAGTATTGGAGTTTCAGCTTCAACATCAGTCCTTCCAGCGAACACCCAGGACTGATCTCCTTTAGGATGGACTGGTTGGATCTTCTTGTAGTCCAAGGGACTCTCAAGAGTCTTCTTCAACACCATAGTTCAAAAGCATCAATTCTTCGGCGCTCAGCTTTCTTCACCGTCCAACTGTCACATCCATACATGATTTGACCATAGCCTTGACTAGACAGACTTTTGTTGGCAAAGTAATGTCTCTGCTTTTAAATATGCTGTCTAGATTGGTCATAACTTTCCTTCCAAGGAGTAAGTGTCTTTTAATTTCATGGCTGCAATCACCATCTGCAGTAATGTTGGAGCCCAAGGAAATAAAATCTGACACTGTCTCCACTGTTTCCCCATTTATTTCCCATGAAGTGATGGGACCAGATGCCATGATCTTAGTTTTCTGAACGTTGAGCTTTAAGCCAACTTTGTCACTCTCCTCCTTCACTTTCATCAAGAGGCTTTTTAGTTCCTCTTCACTTTCTGCCATAAGAGTGGTGTCATCTGCATATCTGAGGTTATTGATATTTCTCCTGGCAATCTTGATTCTAGCTTGTGCTTCTACCAGCCCAGCGTTTCTCATGATGTACTCTGCATATAAGTTAAATAAGCAGGATGACAGTATACAGCCTTGACGTACTCCTTTTCCTATTTAGAACCAGTCTGTTGTTCCATGTCCAGTTCTAACTGTTGCTTCTTGGCCTGCATACAGGTTTCTCAAGAGACAGGTCAGATGGTCTGGTATTCCCATCTCTTAAGAATTTTCCAAAGTTTATTGTGATCCACACAGTCAAAGGCTTTGGCATAGTCAATAAAGCAGAAATAGATGTTTTTCTGGAACTCTCTTGCTTTTTCTATGATCCATTGGATGTTGGCAATTTGATCTCTGGTTCCTCTGCCTTTTCTAAAATCAGCTTGAACATCTGGAAGTTCATGGTTCACGTATTGCTGAAGCCTGGCTTGGAGAATTTTGAGCATTACTTTACTAGCGTGTGAGATGAGTGCAATTGTGCGGTAGTTCAGGCATTCTTTGGCATTGCCTTTCTTTGGGATTGGAATGAAAACTGACCTTTTCCAGTCCCATGGCCACTGCTGAGTTTTCCAAAATTGCTGGCATATTGAGTGCAGCACTTTCACAGCATCATCTTTCAGGATTTGAAATAGCTCAACTAGAATTCCATTACTCCCACTAGGTTTGTTCGTAGTGATGCTTTCTAAGGCCCACCTGACTTCCCATTCCAGGATGTCTGGTTCTCGGTGGTTCCATTTACACCTGCCTGGTATGTACCTGCTTCAGGTCCCTGGCCTAAGTGCCCGGCCTCTGTGTTTAGCCCACAGGCTGGACACTGGTTCTTTTCCATGTCTCCAAGCTTCTCTATTTTAGCTTTGACCTGCTCAGGAACAGAGCAGCCAAACTTCTCCCTTTAGGTCATTAATGGAATGAATGGGAACTTTTCCCAGGGATTGAAGGCCTTTATGGGGTATCCCGGTCAGTAGCAGCCTTTGCTCCTGGGGCCTGGTGGTGTGCCGGCTGGTTTGTTGCCCAGCAAGTTGTTCAGCCACCTCGAGTCTGAACTCTCAGCTCCAGACCTGGCTTCCAGCTCTTCCCTGCTCGTCCATAAGAACCTTGGGCCACAGCCGCTTCTGATCTGAGTGGTCCCAGAAGCTGTGCCTCTGGCTGGGGGGCTGTGTGGAGCTGGGACCAAGGGACAGCCCTGGGGACGCTCGGGGAGGGATGGGGGTTTTCAAGTTTCCGGCAGCAGCAGTTCTGAGCTCATGACTCAGGGGCTGGCACCCGTGGCACATGGCCTGTTTTCACTTTCTGGCCCCCCTTACTTGATGGAGCCCTGCCTACCTACCCAGTGACTTGTCCCGGTTCAGCAAATGCACCCCTCCACTTTTGATAAGTTTCCAGACACTGTGGAGTGGGTGGGCTGTGCATCCTTCAAAGCTGATGGATCTGTGCCGGCTGAGCCACATGCGTGGGGGCGTGGCTTTCATCATGTCTCATCACAGCCAGACAGCCATACATGGTCACTGTGACTGCAAAGCTGCAGCGTGGTGACTCAGCCCCGAGAGGCTGATGTAACGGGGAAAACCGGAGCCAGTGTGGCTGCTGAAACCTGGAGGCTGAGAGTTACCCCCTCACCCCGCCGCCCCACCCCGGGGTCACCCTCACCTGCCCAGGAACTACCTAGGGCAGCTCTGAGCAGACCCAGGTCTCAGAGCAGAGGTTCCAGAAGAGCTGGAAGAGAAACCACTGCCTCTTAATCAGATGCAGGGCCAGGGTGTAACAGCCCAGCCTGGTTGGGTCTTTGTGATGTGGTCAAGGGAGTGGGCATAGACATTTACTTGGAAATTGGTTCTTTCTTGAAAGGAGAGCCTGCCTGCTTCTTTTCCTTAGAAAATGCCGATCTTGAGAGGGACCCAGGTGTGGTATTGAGCGGGAGGGGAGAGCCATTTTAGATTCTTATTCAATCGTGGCTTGTGCAGTTCAGGGTGATTTGGTCCCAGGCTATGCAGTTTTTGTGAGCATTTTTACTTGAGATAGTTGTGTGAAATTTCCAGGCAGTAACTAAGCAAGGCCTTTGACAGAGAAACTTCAGCCAGGCCGGCAGCTCTTGGTTTAGGATCAGAGTTCATTCTTTCTCGAGGGACAACCTAGAGAGGTTTCCAGAGGTGGAGAACTCGCCAACTTTATGTAATTCACTGAGCCCATGAATTGGGGAAGAGCAGGAAACATGGCTCCTCACCTCCAAGGGCCAGGTTTGCCGTGGACAAGGGGACTCGCAGCGAGCCCTGTGGGTGCTGCGGGAGAGGGGCTGAAATGCTGGCCGTTGGAACGTCTGCTCTCCCACGTGCATGTTCCCCGTGTGCACAGCACACGGAGTAAAGTGAGAACAAAACAGAAAGGTTTTCGTGGAGCCCAGTACATCCAGTTGAAAGATCTGTCGTTTATTCTAAGATTCTGTTATGCATTCTGTTTGTAAAAAAATGTTAAGCAACCGCTTTTTTTTAAAGCGCTGACAGTAATCAGTGTTTTGTGTTTACTTGGTTTTTGACTTTTTAGTATCATTTACCTGCTGAGACATGAAGGTGGCTGTTTCGTGTCGGCCCCGTCATGCTTTCTGGGTTTTGGACCTTTCCGGCAGCCAGCCCCGGTCGGCTGGGCCCACAGAGGCACACGGCCTTTGTGGACTTGGGTCCATCCTCCGTGTCCCCCTGCTTCTTGTCTGGGGGTGTTGGGATCGCTGGCGGGGCCAGTTGGCATCCTTCCTTGTGGTAACGCGGAGGCCTGTGGCTTTCCCCAGCCATGGATTTTCCCCAGCACAGCCAACACGTCTTGGAGCAGCTGAACCAGCAGCGGCAACTGGGACTTTTGTGCGACTGCACTTTTGTGGTGGACGGTGTTGACTTTAAGGCTCATAAAGCAGTGCTGGCGGCCTGCAGCGAATACTTCAAGATGCTCTTCGTGGACCAGAAGGATGTGGTGCACCTGGACATCAGTAACGCGGCAGGTACCCCGCTGGGTCCAGGGCCGAGCTTGTGGTGGGCCCCGTGCTACACACGGCTCTCCTTGAGCAGCATCTTTCAGCTGTGGGGGACGGGGGGCTGGTGCCAGACTTCCCACACAGGACTCGGCCACAAGTGCATGAGTACCAAGTTCTTACCATGATTGAGGGGCCTCTTTTGACTGGGAGCGGGGTGGTAAGAGGAGAGTGACAGGAAGGCCTCATGATAAGCTTCAGGCCGAGTGAACACAGGACAGGCTTATCAGAAGGGGCAGAGAGCAGGAAGACTCTGAGCCCCTGGTCCCTTTCCATTGCTGAGTCAGTCTTCAACCCACTCTCCCAGTGCCTTGATGGCAGTGGCAAGGTTTGAGGTCTGGAGGAGCAGTGTCAGGAAGGTCTTGGGATTGAAGAAGGAGCTAACTGGTCTTAGATTCAGGTTCCTAGCCCAGAATGACGTGCCATGCTGCCAGAAGTTTGGCCAGGGTGTTGTTTCCCCATTTTACAGATGTGGAAACTGAGGCCCAGAGAGGTCAGGTGACTGGCCTGGAGGTCAGATAGAGGGTTGATGGCAGAGCCCTGATGAAAGCCTGTGGTGACGTACTCTGTCTTCTGTGATGAAGCGCAGTGGCTGGGTGGAGAGTGCTCAGAGTGGCCGTTTACACCCTCTGCCTTCTGTGGGTGTGCTGCTTTTTGGAGCTTGCCTCTCCACTAGCACAGGAGATGGGGGAAATGGTGGCCTGCCACTGCCACTCTGCTTTTTACAAATTCCTCAATTCTGCCATGGAGTGGAGCGACTGGACAGGGTGCTGGTACCAGGTCTTGAGATGGGTCCGTGACGGCTGTCTGTGTCCTTGGCAGGCCTGGGGCAGGTGCTGGAGTTTATGTACACAGCCAAGCTGAGCCTGAGCTCTGAGAATGTGGACGATGTGCTGGCTGTGGCCAGCTTCCTGCAGATGCAGGACATCATCACGGCCTGTCACGCCCTCAAGTCCCTGGCTGAGCCGGCTGCCAGCCCTGGGGAGAATATGGAGGCCTCAGCTGCGGAAGGTAAGCTTCTTGGCAGGCTGTTCCTGAGCAGGTGGCTCTTGAAGAGAGCTCTGCCCCTGCCTCTGGGACAGTGTCATATGGCCTCCCCTGCATTATGGGGAGCTGGCGGGGAGGAGCCACAGCAAAGTCTGAAAACGCCTTTTAGAGGGGCCCTTCTGTCCTCCCTTCCCAAGGGCACTGGGCAGCCACGCCTGGCTCAGGGCCTTTGCACCAGAATCCACTCCTCCATCAGGCCTCTTCTCCCCCACCTCCTCCTGCTCCTCTAGCACCTCAGGAAAGCCCCCGAGGCCCGGTGTCCTCCTGACACACTTTTGAGAAAAGAACACTCCTTTGCATTAAGCAGCGGTCTCTGATTAGCACCATTCCATGTGCGAGGTCTGTCTCCCTGACCAGTCTGCCAGCCCCATGGCTGTTACATCCCAGGCCTAGCCGGCAGCCTTTTCATGATGTTGGTACCTGTGAAGAATCTGTTGAGTGACCCAACTGACAAACCACTACTTAGGTGTATCCCAAGGGAGGGTCTGGAAGAGCTAGTGAGTTCTGGGCCACTTCACCCCTCCCAGTGGTGGGCACTTGATGGGAAATAGCAGGTCTGTCCTCTTCCATCTCCAGTGGGGGACAGGAGAGCCAAAGAGGAGAAGGCTGCTGCCACTGCGCTGAACGAGCTGGACCCAGCTAGGAGCAGTCTGCCTGCGGGCCCAGGCCGGGAGCCCAAGGAGGAGCGTGGCGGCCAGGCCGAGAGCACGGGCAGTGGTGAGTTGCCACGCTGAGGATCCGGCTGGCTGGCTGTCATCCTGCCGGCAGTGTGGGCTCCAGCACCACAAGTGGCTTCCTCGGGAGGCTCTTGGGGGTGAGGGGACACAGGCAGCTGCATCCCTTGAGCTCAGGCTCCCCAGAACAAACTGTTGGTTTTTCTGGGGCATCTGTTAAAGCCAGAGCAGAGGCTCAAACAGCCTGAGCTGGGATGTGCCACGCCCCCCAAACCCCTGGGGCCACAGCCACTTCCAGAGGCCTAGTCCAGGAGACCCATCCAGCCACTGGACAGAGGGCCCCAATCCAGCCCTGGATGCCCCCCACCCCCACCGCAGGTGCAGAGCAGACGGAGAAGGCAGATGCTCCTCGGGAGCCTGTGGAGCTCAAGCCGGACCCCACGAGTGGCATGGCTGCTGCTGAGGCTGAGGCTGCCTTGTCAGAGAGCTCAGAGCAAGGTACCCTCCACTGGCCAGATTGGCCCTCACTTAGGTCAGCGTCCCCCACTCTTCCTGCCACAGCTGATCTCACTCTGAGTCACTCTTTCACATCAGCTTTTGGGCCAACATCATCTTTTCTCATTCCTGAACTTTGATGTCAGTTTCTTGGTTGTACATCCTGGCCTCGCTTCCTGTTAGCACAGAAGTATACCTGTTGCAGTACTGGCCCTGCTGTTTCTCCCTGAACTGAGCACCATGGGGGAGCTTTGCTGCCCCTGGCACCCACCCCTGCCCCCAGTGCTTGTTGGCTGAGAGCATCCTTCCCACTTGGGTCGCCAGCTTGGGGACCCTGGTGGACTGAGGCCCATCTGTAACCTTCAGGTAGCACTGTCCGGGTCATCGGTCTCCCTAGACTTCCAGACCCTGCCAGCCGCTTGCGAGGCGCCCACGCAGAGATGAGCCGGCCCCCAGCCTCACTTGACACCCACCCCCCACCGCCCAACCCCCAAGACGCCTCAGTGCCTGCCCTTCTCCTGGCAGAAATGGAGGTGGAGCCAGCCAGGAAGGGAGAAGAGGGAGAGGAGGAGGAGGGCGCCGCGCCCGCAGTGGTCAAGGAAGAGGGGCTGCCGCTGGAGAAGGGTGAGGCCCCGGAGGAGAGTGAGGAGTCGGCCAGCACGGACTCGGGCCAGGAGCTTGGCGCTGAGGCGCGAGGCCTGCGCTCGGGCACCTACGGCGACCGCACGGAGTCCAAGGCCTACGGCTCAGTCATCCACAAGTGCGAGGTGCGCCGCGGGCGGTGGCGGCCCCGCCCCGGGCCCCGCCCCCACCCGCCCCTGACTCCGCCCCCTGCCCCCACAGGACTGTGGGAAAGAGTTCACGCACACCGGGAACTTCAAGCGGCACATCCGCATCCACACGGGCGAGAAGCCGTTCTCGTGCCGGGAGTGCAGCAAAGCCTTCTCTGACCCGGCCGCCTGCAAGGCCCACGAGAAGACACACAGGTAGGCCCCGCGGCCGCCCCCTTCCTTCGCCTGACCCACCCTGGGTCCCTGCCGAGCGCCCCCCGCGACCCTCCTCCTCCGCGCTCTGCCGCCAGCCCGCTGAAGCCCTATGGCTGCGAGGAGTGCGGCAAGAGCTACCGGCTCATCAGCCTGCTGAACCTGCACAAGAAGCGGCACTCGGGCGAGGCTCGCTACCGCTGCGAGGACTGTGGCAAGCTCTTCACCACGTCGGGCAACCTCAAGCGGCACCAGCTGGTGCATAGCGGCGAGAAGCCCTACCAGTGCGACTACTGCGGCCGTTCCTTCTCCGACCCCACGTCAAAGATGCGCCACCTGGAGACGCACGACACCGACAAGGAGCACAAGTGCCCGCACTGCGACAAGAAGTTCAACCAGGTGAGGGCATAGGGGAGGCTGGGGAGAAACCGGGAGGGCAGATCCGGAAGGGTTGTGCCTTCTCCACCGGACTGGAGGAAGGGTGGAGCCCCCCACAAGGTCCCCGCCCCCCGCCCCCCGAGAGGACAGAGACCAGAGGTTCTGGGCAGGGAGGGGCTGGCCCTCTGACCCCCTGCCTGGGCGCAGGTGGGGAATCTGAAGGCCCACCTGAAGATCCACATCGCCGACGGGCCCCTCAAGTGCCGGGAGTGTGGAAAGCAGTTCACCACCTCAGGTAGGGCCCAGCTGGCCCCCGCCCCCCCCTACTTTCGCCCCGGCCCCCACCCCACGGCAACCCCCCGCCCCCCCCCCCCCAACCCCCTGCCAGGCCTTCCCTTGGTCTCGACGCAGGGAACCTGAAGCGGCACCTGCGGATCCACAGCGGGGAGAAACCCTACGTGTGCGTCCACTGCCAGCGGCAGTTTGCTGACCCCGGCGCCTTGCAGCGGCACGTTCGCATTCACACGGGTGGGTGGGTGAGCGAGCCTTGCTGGGGCGACGTGGGGGCATGGACGGAAGGGAGGTGCTGATATCTTGTCCCGGCTCCTGCCTTGCGTCCCCAGGTGAGAAGCCATGCCAGTGCGTTATGTGCGGCAAAGCCTTCACCCAGGCCAGCTCTCTCATCGCCCATGTGCGCCAGCACACCGGGGAGAAGCCCTACGTCTGTGAGCGCTGTGGCAAGAGGTGCTGTCCTTCCTCCTTCCCCCTCCACCTCCCACCTAGGCATGGTGGCGTCCCAGCACTGGGTGGGCGGAGAGGGTCAGACAGCACAAGCCTGCTCTGTCTGGTCCGGTCAGGAGCCGGTCACACGGCTGTCCAGGGCAGGTCCCCAAGTCCTCTTCCACCTCAGCCCCGTCTTAGCCTGGGCGGTTCAGTACAAGCCCCTCCCTCTGGCCCTGCAGATTCGTCCAGTCCAGCCAGTTGGCCAATCATATCCGCCACCATGATAATATTCGCCCCCACAAGTGTAGCGTGTGTAGTAAGGCCTTCGTGAACGTGGGGGACCTGTCTAAGCACATCATTATCCACACTGGTGAGTGTGTGCCCACCTCTGTCCCAGGCCCTGACCCCGGGCTGGGTGGTGCATGGGGGTGGGGGGAGATGCCCATCACCCCAGCCTTGGGAGCTGACACTTGCTGCAGGCTGCCTCTAAAGCAGTCTAACTCCCAGGAGGGCCCCACTTTCTCAGACTTTCTAGAAGGGCCATCTGTGCCTTAAGTGGCCACTCCAGAGCATTTCCTGCTGGAAAGACAGGGCTGCAGGGGAAGCTGGAGGCCACTGAGGTCCTCCCCCCCTGCACCCTCCCCCCAATGGCAGGAGAGAACCTTGCCTCCCCCCCCAGGAGAGAAGCCCTACCTGTGTGACAAGTGTGGTCGTGGCTTTAATCGGGTGGACAACCTTCGCTCCCATGTGAAGACTGTGCACCAGGGCAAGGCCGGCATCAAAATCCTGGAGCCAGAGGAGGGCGGTGAGGTTAGTGTGGTCACTGTCGATGACATGGTCACGCTGGCCACCGAGGCACTGGCAGCAACAGCTGTCACGCAGCTCACAGGTGCGGACATCACTCAGCTCCCAGGGCAGCAGGGGGTGGTCACAGCAGGGCTGCCTCTGGGGCAGCTGCAGAGGAGCAGGTGATGGGTCTTAGGCCTTGCTGATTCTATCCACAGTGGTGCCAGTAGGGGCAGCAGTTACTGCCGATGAGACTGAAGTCCTTAAAGCCGAGATCAGCAAAGCTGTGAAGCAAGTGCAGGAAGAAGGTGAGAGGGGAGCAGAGCTGCCTTTGGGGAAGGTGGTGGGCCCTTCCTGTCGTGACCGCACCCCTATCTCCCACAGATCCCAACACCCACATCCTCTATGCCTGTGATTCCTGTGGGGATAAGTTCCTGGACGCCAATAGCCTGGCCCAGCATGTGCGGATCCATACAGCCCAGGCACTGGTCATGTTCCAGACGGATGCGGACTTCTACCAGCAGTATGGGCCGGGTAGCACGTGGCCGGCTGGGCAGGTGCTGCAGGCCGGGGAGCTGGTTTTCCGCCCTCGGGACGGGGCCGATGGGCAGCCTGCTCTGGCAGAGACAGCCCCCACCGCCCCTGAATGTCCACCGCCTGCCGAGTGAGCAGGCACCCCTCCTCCTATTTAAGGATGGATGGCACCCTAGAACTGAGAAGGGTGACCCCATTCCCTAGAGAGAATAAATTTGATTATTTTCTAATGCTGCCTGTAGCTCCCTGTGGGGGTGGGGCGGGGAGCTGGCAGCTCTAGCTGATGCCACAGAAGGGCTGCTCCACCCAGCCACCAGCCAGCTGAGCCTACTTCTTGGGAAGGCCAGGCTGTCCCTTTGCAGGGAGCCCCGAGACCTGTCTAGAAGGAGGCTGACTCCTTCGCCTGAGTGTGGGCAGCACACCAGAGAAACTGCGGCTCCATGAGCCCCATCCCCTCATCTGGTCTCCTCTTTGGAGGCCGCTCACCTGCTCAACCTGAGGATTGGACCTTCCCTCTCTGCCGTGGAACACAGCTGTGACCCTGTTGCCCTCCTCAGGTGTTGGGAGCTGGGCCCAAAGGGCTTGGCCACACTGCTTACCAGGATCCAGGATCCAACCGTGCAGGGCCCAGCTTGAGGGCTCATTCAGCCACAGCAGCAAGGTAGGCAGAGCACCGGACCAAGCAGGCCACAGGCCTGGTTCTGTTGGGCTTAAGGAAGCCAGAGAGCAGCACACTTGCTTCATGGTAACTCTGGCTGCAAGATCAAGGCCAGGCCAGCGTCATCTTCTGGGAACATTTACTTGCTCTGAATCAGTGGAATCTCTAAGGTGAGGGGCTGGAGAGACAGGAATGAGCGGCCAGGAGCTCTGATGGGGTGGGGGTGGGGTGGGCGGTGCAGCAGTGGGGATGGAGAAGCAGGGGGTCATGAGATGCCATCTGCCGCTTTTCCATATGGCTCGTCCCTAACAGCTTTAATTCCTCACTCAGAGATGGCACCATTCGGCACTGGAAGTATAGGTCTGTTTGGAGTGTAGGGATACTGCAAGTGAGACCAGTCTTTGTGTTCCATCCCTCCTTGCCCAACTCACCTTGTGGTGGGTCCAGCTGTTCAGAGGCAGCTGCTGCAGGGCCAGCCTGCACCTTATCCAGAGAAGAAAGGGACAAGAGGCAAGACCCCAAAGCTTTCTTAATGTTTCTGAGTTTGACTGGGCAGTGGCTCTATTTTTTATCAAATCTGAAGTGCCTTCAACATTACCCAGAAACCAGTTGGGACCCTGAAGTGTCACATTACCACCACAGCAGTGAAAAGGTGGCTCAAGTCGTAGTCTGTGAGGAGAATTTTTTTGTACAAGGTAAAATGATCCTTGGGGAGGATTAGTGGCAGAAAGGAGATGGGTTCCATATACAGACTTAGTAGGGGATTGAAAACAAACACGGGGTGAGGGCTTACTGTTCCTAGAGGCCAAGGACCCCTGGTCCTCCCATCCAAGTGAAAATCACATCCACACTTGACATGTTTTGTATTTTTTAATAAAGTTTGTAATCCAATGGACACACAGAGCAAAACTGCGCTGAGAAAAACAGTTTCATAAATTAATAAGTGTTAGGAAGTTGGGGGAGAGGTCAAGGTCACAGGAAGAAGGGAGCCAGTCTGTGTGTGACACTTCCAAACTGGGGGGCAGGGCCCGTGCTGCAACGAAGCGCACTTATACAAATGAGTGACAATACAAAGTCTGAGTATGAAAATAAGATTTTCTCTGAAAACACATTTTTGGCACAGATTAAAAAAAATGTATGTCAGGGAATTTGATTTTTAAGTCAGTATTATATATATTTATATATATTATATATTTATATATACACACATCCCAAGTTCTGCATATTCCACTAGGAGAGAAAATCCTTCCGTTTGCTCTTTTTGATTGTAAACTGTACATCCTGGGTGAATCAAAGATGGTGGGCAGAATTAAGAGAGGTGACATCCAAATGAGCAAGGGGAAGGGAGGAGTGGGGACCAAACAACTCAATGAAATGTTCCTTGACCCCAAGGTTTCAGCAGATGTTTGAAGTCCTGCGTGAGTCTGCGATGTGTGTTCACGTACACCAAGACATCCAGAGTGTCACAGCCTGTCTTCACTGTGCAAAAGTCCAAGTCACTAATTTAGTGCAAAGGCAGTTCTGTTTTGTTTCTTAAAAACAAAAACAACAAAAAAAATCCCACTGCCCTGTTCCTTTTCTCCAAAAAGAGGAGAGAGAAACCCAGCCTCAAGGTGTCTGCAAGTCCATCGGTTGGTGGTCTGTCCTTGGGCTAAACATCATGTAAACATACAAGTAGCAGCACCACTGCCCAGAGGGGTCTGTCCCGACTGAGCCGGGCGGGCGGGCGGGCGGGCGGGCAGGAGGGTGAGGCTGGCCGTCTGGCAGTGGAATCTGTCCCCTTCGGCAGCTTCTTCCTCCACGTGGCTGGGTTGTCCTGTGTGTTATTTTTTGCTGCAGAGCCTCAGGAAAATACACTGAGTGGTGACCATTCAGTGGCTCACACAGAGGCAATGACAATCATGAGGTGGGGAGAAATGTTGGAGATGCTGGCCAGGAGGTCAGGGGCCAGCCGGGACAGGTGACTCTCAGAGAACTCGCAGGGCGGGAAGATCTGCAGCACGTAGGCGGGCTGGAGTGGGGACGAGAGAGAGAACTGGGACCCCCGGCTTCATGTCACCCACCCACTACGTCTCCTCCCTCAAACTCCCCAACTGGGGGGCCCTGAAGGCCCAACACACGGAGCCAGGCTGAGTCAAGTTCCCAACCAGCTAAGGTCTCTTGAGACTTTCAGAAGAAAACTAGGTGTAATTAGCCTCCAACTAATAAAAGTAAGTGGGGAAAAAAAAAATTAAAAAAAAGAAGAAAACTAGGTATCAGAAAACAAACAAACTGACCACCTCCCCGGGAGCCTCTTTTCAATAGTTAAGCTAAAGAAAACCCTCTGTTGTCTCAGCTGCCCACTGACCATCTCCCGGATGGGCAAATGGCAGTCCTGTCCATACATGCCCATCCCCAGCTGGTCTCCTCTATCCAGAATGCCCCTTTGTCCAGCTCCTCTGGGAAACTGTCCTGGACTCCTCTAGTTGTTGGCACTGGCAGGTTAGTCAAACTGCCCAACCAACACTACCCACAACCCCCACCCCTGCAGGCATACATGTGCCAAGGCAGGATGCTGGGCTGACCTGATTGGAGCCGGGGTTGGGAACATTGATGATCCCTGCCGCCTGCTTGGCCTGCAGATATGTGATGAAGGCAGCCTTGAGTGACTCTGTTTGGCTTACGACGTCCTCTTGGTCACGGCCACAGGGCAGAGCCAGCAGCAGACAGTAATCTGTTTCCACCTGGGGAAGAGGGAGCTGTCAGTGATCAGAGGCCACCTCGCAAAAGAAGGTTGGAAACCAAAAAGACAATTATCCAACCCAGGGGATTTGGCTTCTAAATCCACAAAAAACCCTACTACTGAAATGACCTTGAGGTCCATCCATATACTTGTTGAATGAAAAGGAGTCTCATCTCTAGGTCTAGAGAAACTTTACACCCCTGGTGGAGACAGAACACGCCCTTCGTCATCCACTCCAAGAATCCCATTAATGCACCCCAAAACAAGCCAGGGAGACAGTGGGGCCCTCCCATGGCCTCCCTTCCTGTGGGTGGGACAGTGGCCAACCTGGGCCCTGAGCCTTACCGTCATCCTTCGGGCAACCCCTTCCAGCTGGGAGGCCTCCAGCCGCATCCTCTGGGCAATCCTCAAGGGGGGCCCTCCTTCAGAGAGGGGCAGGGACCGATGGGCCAGGACATTGTTGCCAGAGACGAAGTGGAGCTGCACAGCAGCTGTGTCGTTCTTCAGGGCCAGGAGGCCCTGCCACACGATGGGGTACTTCTGCTCGCAGGGAAACAAAGAACAGTGAGCTCACAGCTGGAGAATGAGGCCATGCTGGTCATGGCCCTGAGGAGCGGTGCTGATCTAAGTGGGGATCTCAGGACAGTGAACACACGTAAAGCTTGGAAGGTGGTAGGGGAGGCCCTGTCCAGGCTTACCTTCAGAAGCTGCACCATATCCACAGGCCTCTGGGAAGTCAAGTGTGGAGAGGAATCTTGTTTGGGGGTGGGTGGGGCTTCAGTATGGGGTAGAGCCAGTCCTGGAGGGGTGCTGGGGCCTGAGGAAGTAGGGACAAACAGCGGCTGCTTTGGGGCAGCCTGAGCAGGAAGAGGAGTCGGGAGGTCAGGCTTCAAGGAGACACACACAGGGGAGGGATAGGAGGTCTGGCTCGTCTCTGCCTGCGCCCTCTGGACCTGGGTATGAGGCTCAGCCGGCCTGTTGGCAGAGACGTTAGGGAGGCGCGGCTGCTCAACTCCTGTCTGGGTGCCCTTGGCTTCCTGAGACACCGGAGGCATCTTGCTGCTTGGAGGCTGGCTGAGCTGGGAGGGCTGTGCAGGCTGGGCCGGCTGTGCGCACTGCACAGGCTGGAGGGGCTGCGTGGGCTGAGAAGGCTGAGTGGGCTGTAAGGGCTCACCTTCAGGGGGGCCCTGGAGTTGGGTAGGAAGAGAAAGGAACAGAGTCAGTCTGTTTTGCACAAACAGCATCCTGACCCCAACCAAGCAGCCAAGAGCCCCCAGGTGGGTCACCTGCAGGGCAGCTCCTGGCAGCCAGGCCCCCGGAAGAAGCTTTAACGAGACGGCCCTGCTCTTGGGCATTCAGGACTGACAGTTTTGGTAAAAGTCACCTGAATAAACCTTGTCACCCTCTCGGGTCAGAGCCGCCACACCACCCGCTCCCACTGTGAGCTCCCTCATGTCCCCAGGCTCTGCTGTAATCTGAGCCCTTCATTCTGAAGTTGAGGAAGCGTCTCTTGAAATCCACAAAAAGGACGCCACATTTCAGGGACCTCACTGGTACCCGCCACCTCCCCACCCCCAACTCTCTGGACCAGAAGACAGACTGGGCGTGCTCACCTGGGCGGGAGCCTTGGTCCGGGAAGGCAGGCCGATGGAGGCCGTGGCAGGGAACTGCGTGTGTGTGAGCTGGGCCGGGCTGTGGTAGGTGCGGACGTCTCCATACCGGTACTCCTGGAAGAGCTCCCCGCTCGAGTGCAC